CTTACTGGGACCTGGGAGTATGATCTCCCTGTGATGCGCCCAAGGTGTTGTGTCCAAAGTGATTCATTATTTACTTGGTAGAAGTGAGCGATGATTTATTCTGACACCACCGCCCCCCCCAATTCATGTCCATGTGCTTCAGTGTGAGGGGAATCGGGGTGCTCGGGAATTAGACCTGTCATGCTTCGGGAGTGGAGGGGGTGCAAGGATCTTCTCGGGTAAGGGGGTCTTTTTTGTGGGGGGTTACCAGGGGTTGAACTCAGGGGTACTAGATCACTGAGCCAAATCCCAGCCCTAGTTTGTGTTTTATTTAGAGACAGGGTCTCACTGAGTTGCTTAGGGCCTCGCTAAGTTGCTGAGGCTGGCTTTGAACTCACGAGCCTCCTGCCTCAGCCTCCTGAGCCGCTGGGATCACAGGCGTGCACCACCGTGCCGGGCCGAAGGGGACTTTGAACTGGATTGTTGATGTTTCCTCCAAATCAAGCAAGACCCCAGCAGTCAGAAGTGACCAGACTCTAAGCTTAATCCCATCACCAGACCAGACTGTAAAAGTACACTAGAAATCCATTTTAAAAATGCATCCTGCAACGGTCTTGCGGCGTCTCCCCATGGTATCCTGTCGATCTGTGCGTCCTGTTAAATGTGAACCTTGGAATCGCACAGTCAGTTTTAGATTTAAGATTCTGGGATCCTCAGCAAAGGTCTCCCCTGACCTCTCTAAGGGTCTCTGGACGGGGTTTTGGCAGTGGATGTTGATTTGCAAAACACCTCTCTGGCCCTGTCATCCTTTATGGCAGACACTTTGATCCCGGGGCAAGGCGGCCGGACAGCATGCGGAGGAGTAGCCCTGATTTCCCAGCCAGAACGTCCTGTCCCGCCCAGATAACGGTTGGGACAGGCTGCACTGAATCGACTCGACACTCAGCTGTTAAAACAAACAGTTATAAAATACATGGAAACACCAGCAGGGCTGCACCCAAACACTTCCCGGCTCCGCTCGGGCTCCGACCCCCAGGGTGGCAGGACCTGTTGCGGGGCTCTTGATTAAGTGACGTGGGTGCCCAGCTCTGGCCTGAGCTGGATGAGACACCGGGCAGTGGGCCTGAGCCCAGGTGGGGGGCGAGATGAATGGCACTTTAGCTTGGAGTCTGGGGACCCTCCATAGGGAGGAATCAAAACACAGGAGGTTAGAGAGAGGCCTGGGGAAAGGGGTACCCCACAGGCACCCTGAGAGGTCACCCGCATGGTGCCTGTGGGGTCTGCTAAAGCCAGCCAGGTGGGCTCTGAGGGTGACGTCGGTGCCGTGCCTGCTACGTGTGGCTACGTCTGCAGCTTGTCTTAGGGGCAGAAGGTTCCAGAAGTCAAGGCAGATACTTGATGAAAAGATGATGGCTAGGGCAGGACCACATTCCTTGCCCTGCGTGGTGGCGCACGCCTGTCATCCCAGCAGCTTGGGAGGCTGAGGCAGGAGGATCGTGAGTTCAAAGCCAGCCTCAGCCAAAGTGAGGCCCTAAGCCGCTCAGAGAGACCCTGTCTCTAAATAAAATACAAACTAGGGCTGGGGATGGGGCTCAGGGGTGGAGTGCACCCTGAGTTCAATCCCTGGTACCCTCCCCCCAAAAATTTTCTTTCCTTTCCAGCTACCTTTAGTGAATGCCTCCTGGATGCTCAGCCCCAGGCTGGGCCTTTGCACGTCCACTGGCTCATTGAATCATCAGTCGCCGGTTTTTTAGATGAGGAAACAGGTCTGAGAGGCGAAGGGGCTCTGTCACCCGCCACGGAGCTGGGCTGGGAATCCAGGCTGCCAAAGCTCCTGCCTGGCCCCGGCTACCTTGCTGACCCTCTGCCTGGACATCCCGGAGCTCGGCCCTAGGAGGCCTGCAGCACTGACTCGGATGATGGACAAGGACCGTGACGTAACCTTGAAGGGAGTGCGTCACAGATTTGTCACAAAACGGTGGTCCCTTTCTGTTTGGGGGTCCCCAGGGTGTCCTGTGTACAACAGGAACGTGCCTCTTGTCCTCTCTGCCTCACGAGAGCAGCAGAATAACTAGCAAAACGAGAATAAGAATGACGACCGGGAAGTCCTGAGCCCGGGGTTGAGCCTGTGGAGTGGCCTGTGATCCGTGGCCTGGGGCCAAATCCTGCCGCACCCCTGGGAGCCCCGGGCTGTATCAGCCAGGGACATGCCTCTTCCCATAATGCATTTCTCCTCTCTCTTGTGGGCGGACTCCTACTCGATCCTCAAAACCCAGGCCCTAAGTCACTTGTTGGTAATCCTTGCTGGTAGCTGCTAAGGTGTTTAAGTCGCGGGACATTTTGTGTCCCTCTCTCTTTTAAGACCCATTGCCACCGTATATGCCTCTGTCACCCTACACGTGGCTGGGAGGGTCTCAAAGACAGGGGGGTCTGCCTCCATCTTTCCTTCTGTGCCTGGCTGTGCGTACTGAGGTTTGGGGAGGACTCATGGTGGGGGCTGAAGAGATTCATTCCATCAACCACGGATATCAAGCAAAGAGACATGACACCTGGATAAACATGAACAGCTCAGCTTTCTGAGATTGTTTTTTTAAAAAGAGGTGTCTGTGTGTTTGATTCTCCTTGACTTTAGACAATCAGGAGCTTCACATTTAATGGGAATCTCTTCTGGGTCAAAGGGATGGACTTCACTCTGTTTTTTTTTTTTTTTCTTTTAGAGAACTAACAGTCTTAGGAGTCAGAAAGTTCCTTCTCCTGTCTAACCTGCGTCTGCCTTGCTTCACTGGCACGCTGTTCCTTTCTGCCTGGTCCTGGGGAAACATGAAGCTCCTGAAATGCCTCTTGCCCCTTCCTGACTGAGAGAAGCAGGTAGTGGCCGGGTCCCCCCGTTGGTGTTATGAACAATGCTCAGCCTCTGTGGAGGCTTTAAAATCAATCAATTTTTAAAAAGCAGAAACCATTGGAACTGGGAGGAGGGAAGCTGATTCTAGGTAGAGTGAAGGCTGCGTAAGGGAGGCCGTCCTTCAGGACAGAGGACGAGAACCGTGGTTTTCATTAATTTGCTCATCTGGGGGACAGTTCTGGAGCTGGTGGCTGTGGGGGGGCCCATCAGGGGGGAACCGGGCAGTTTCCTCAGCCCTGAACCTGGGGCTCCAACAGGGCTGAGCCCTGGGTCCCTGCCTCCTTCTCACCCTGTGTCTGAGAGGCATCTGGGAAATCGCATCTCAGACGCACAGCCCGTGGCTCTGAGTGTCACTGGGTGGTGGGTGGACGAGGCCGAGGGCCGGACGTCGAGTCACGCGGTGAACTTAAATCCCAAGTCTCTCTGCCCGGGGCTCCTGGGCCTCAGAGGACTCAGACCCTCAGAATCTTTTTCTTCTTCTCCCAGAAAATGGAGCTGGCCTCTCAGTCCCCTCTGGGACACATGGTCTCAATGAGAGGGGCAGTAAGGGGTGGTGGGGAGTGCGGCCCGTCGGAGAGCCGTGCCCTGCCAGAGAGGGCAGCTGATACTCGCCCCCGCAGAACAGCCGTCCCATAGGAAGAGAAGCCCAGTAAGGCCAGATGGTGCACATTTAAAACCAAAGCTACGAATACTTCTGTGTAAAAGTCTGAGACAATGATGAATTCCGGACCCGCACAAGGGGGGCCTTGTTTCCTGAGGACTGAAGCCAGGGCCTTGCACGTGCCAAACCCAAGCTCTCCTGCTGAGCTGCACCCCCAGCCCCAGCGTGGCCTTGATGTTTGAGGACGTATCGTCAGAGGGTACGATCGCGCCCTCCCACCTGACATGCCCAGGTATTGTCTCGGAGTCCACCGGCGGGATCACGGCCTGGCCCACAACAGGATCCCTGAAGTCCTGTTTTCTGTCCAGCCGTTAGCAGCCAGCGAAGGCCACTCCACCAGGAATGCCCTCCAGAGCTCTGCAGAGAGGCCGGGCTCTGATGAGCTGGTGCTCAAGGGGCCACCTCGAGATCAAGTGCAGAGGCAGAGACCCAGGCCCCCAGGCTGAGAGACCTGGGCCGCCCCTCCAGACGCCCCTTGGTCCGTCCACCTCTACAGAGGTGCAGAGGGCAGGCGGGAAGCTCTCAGGCCCTCCGGGGCTGCTGGGGCCTGGCCTGGCTCTTCCTGGGCGAGAGAGGGAAAAGGTGCTCTGATCTCCAGCCAGACGGAGCCACTCTTGGAAAGGGATACTGACTCAGCTGTCAACACCTCTCAGCCGATTGACAAAGACCAGGATGTTTGATGGCAGATGGAGCTGGCGAGGCTGTGGGAAAACAGTCAGGCTCCCGCGTCTCTGGAGGGGTGGCAGTGATGTCTAGAGTGCATCTTCTGGCAGCTTCCACTCATAGACCATAAACGCTCATGACCTCTGACTCAACAATTTCACAAAGAGGAATTTATTCTGTGGATAAACCCACTGGTGTGCCACATGAGGTATCGGCACAATGTTCTATCCAACAGCCCTGTCACAAGACTGGCAATGAGCCAAGTGTCCGCCATGAAGGACTTCCTTTTGGAATAGTATGCAGTCATCAAAAAGAACACAGGACTCAATTACTTGGGATTTATCCCCTAGACATGTAGATAAGTAAGAATGCAAGGGGCAACATAATAGGTGTCATGGGCTCTTATACAAAATTACAAAAAGAGTAGGTGTGTGCACATTTGTCTAAGCATAAGATGTTGCTAAAGAACACAGAAAAATTAGTAGTGTTGCTGGCGTCTGGGGAGGGAAGCTGGGTGTAGGTGAAGGGAGAGAAAGTATCATGATGCATCTTTGATCTCTTTTAAATGTGGAATCACACAAATGCCTTTCCTGGTAGAAACAGAATTAACATCGGAAAAATGGCAAGCTCACAATCAAATAAAACAAACCCCAGATCTGCATCCCCGGCTGAGCCCGCTGGCCTGGCCTTCCGGCTCTGCAGCCAGGGCCCCTGGCCTCCTTCTCAACAGGGGCTACCTCCGCTCCCTCTGCTTCCTACTGGGAGAGGCCGGGGCGGGCCAGCGGCCCCACTTACCTGCTCCCTCTCGGAGTAGGGGTTGTTGAGGACCACGGGTGCACCGCCCTGGCCCCACAGGTCATTGAAGACGCGGTCGTTCTCCCCGCTGAGGGGCAGAGCTCGGTGTGACTTGCCATCCAGGTCCCTGAAAGGCAAGGTGGACACATCAGGCTCCCGGCCTTGGTCTGAAGGTCCCGAGTCTGTAGGGGACCCGGGGACTCACTCACACGCCTCCCTGGGAACGCTGGACGTCCGCCTGCTGCTCCGCCAGGGTTACTCCCTCATGGGGGGCAGCCCCTGTCAGGCAGCAAGCGGGCTCCTCCAAGCTGACCCCTGTGCCTGGTGTCCACCCAGGTTGGGGACACTGTTTCTGGATGGCCATGACATGGGTGCCTTGCATCTCTCTCCGGCGCACTTCACCTGGGGGCCCAGGGGGCCGTCTCCTGTGAGAGCTCTGTGTGTCACGACCCCTGGGCGACTTCACACTGGGTACCCAGTGGGGGGGAGGGAGGAGGGACACGAGGCCAGTGGGCACGGCCACAGGCCCTTCCCAGCCCAGCCCAGGATCTGGGCTTCCTAGGAACACCACCAGCTCAGGACACCAGAATGATTGAGAATAAAGGAAACAGAGCAAAGGTGACATCATGGTTCACGCTGAGAGCCGCGTTCACGGAGCACTTACTACGTGCACCGGGCGCGGGCTTCACCCAGCTCACCCCGCAGAGAGCCTACAGGAGGGACGGGCAGCGGGCGCAGTTTTACAGATAGCGTGGGTGACGGGGGAAGCCAACGGCTCAGGGTCACACAGTCAGTCACGAGCAAAGCCCAACACTCTAGCCTGTCCTGCATGTCCACCTGAAGAAGTGGCTCTAACTGTCACCATCAGGGACCATCATCATTACCATCACCACCATCCTCACCATCACCACCACCACCAATACCATCACCACCATCGTTATCATCATCATCACCATCACCACCACCACTACTACCTCCACCACCACCACCACCTCCACCACCACCAATACCATCACCACCATCATTATCATCATCATCACCACCACCACCATCACCACCACCATCACCACCACCACCATCACCATCCTCATCATCACCATCACCATCTCCACCACCACCAATACCATCACCACCATCATTATCATCATCATCACCACCACCACCACCTCCACCATCACCACCACCACCATCACCATCATCACCACCATCACCACCACCATCATCACCACCACCACCACCACCATCATCACCACCACCACCACCACCACCACTACTACCTCCACCACCACCACCACCATCACCACCATCATTATCATCATCATCACCACCACCACCACCACCATCACCATCACCATCACCACCACCATCACCACCACCATCACGACCACCACCATCACCACCTCCACCATCACCACCACCATCACGACCACCACCTCCACCACCTCCACCATCACCACCAAAATCACCTTAAAATGGTCACTCTCAACTTCAACACATCTTCATGATTCCCTCCCTCCCCACCATCATTATCATCATTCTCCTCCTCTTCCCCATGACCGTCTTCAGCATCACCACCATCACCATCACCAACATCATCACCATCACAACCAGCACCGTACGAGGAAACCGAGGTTCAGAGAAGCGCAGTTGCTCACTCACGTCACACAGCCAGTGACGGTGATGCAAACTCAGGCTGCTTCCCGAGCCAGAGCCTGACTCCCTCACCGCTCAGCTTCCTCCATCCTGCCCTTGATCTCTAATGGACCCTCCAAGCCCGTCCGTGGGCTGACACCCAGTTAGATGGAGCGAGGACTGGGTGTGGACATCCAGGCCTCCCACTGCCCGTCTGGCCTCAGCCCTTCCACCCCGAGGCCGCCCCGGTCTCCCCCAGCCCGTCTCTGGGATCTTCCAGTTTTGTTCTCTGATATCGGTTCCCCGACGTCGGGCAAGACAGCGCTCTCCATGGCCCACGACACTGGGAAGAACCGGGAGCCAGTGCGTCTGAGTGCCTGGCCCGGGGTGACCCTCCCACTGCTGAGTCAGGGTCAGCCAGACCCCTCTTTGCTGGGCTCCTCGTCGTCCCCGGATCCACATCAAAGCCACTCCTGCCCTTCTGTGGGAGAGGTTCGCATTTATCAGAGGGAACATTTTGTCTTCCCCTCTTTAAAATGCCACCAAAACAAACCCAGAGTGGCTCTTGATTACAGACATTTCCCAAGTCAATGGCTTGCCTACACAGTGACAAACAGAGGAATCGTCTGTGGAGAGAGCGGCTCCTGGTGCCACTCAGCTCCAATTCACATCTAAAACTCCTGCTCTGATGATATCACATGGCCATAAATGGGGTCTCAGCAGAGAAGGGAGGAGGGAAATGTATTCTGAGCTTCTGGAACATACCAGGTACTGGAACAGAAGGTATTTCATTAACTCTTGGTGGACATTAAAAGTCCTATTTTACAGATGAGAAAACAGAGCCCAGAGAGGTTACATAAGTTTCCCAAGGTCACACAGTAAGCACAGAGCCAGAGAACTGGGGTTTGCAACCAGGTCTGAGTGATGGCTAGCCCAGATGCTTTCCTTTAAAAAATACAGACAGGAAAAACTAGTCAGGATATTCATTCTAAGCCAGAGGCGACAGAACAAGGAACCCCACATTTCTATTAGGCCTATTTATAAAAAGGACAGGGTCAATTACTTGGGCAACTCTGCAATGGATCACCTAGCTCATTCTGTGTGACCCTGCGGGGGGAACTTCAAGTTTCTTTATTGTTATTCTTTCTTCTTCTTTTTTAAAATCCAAGCACACCTCTGTTTCAATAATGCATTTGAAGTGTTTGTGCCAACACGAACTTATTTTAGAGTCGTGTGTGATGAGAAGGGGAAAAATATTTTTCCTCCGGGACCATGGGGAGCATCTAGGTTGAGCTATGCTGCTTCCGATCTCCCAAGAGCAAAATCCGGAGTAGATTCAGCCAGCTTCCCAGCCCACCAGCTGCCGGCGGTAACCGGGTCCCAGGGAGGGAGCGGGCGTACTGCCGCCAGTCGGTCACCTGGGATCTACCTGTGGAGGGGCTTGCTATGCAGTGGTGTCTACCCAGCCAGAGGGAGAGGAGCATCCACCGTGAGGACACAGGCTGCAAATGGGTTCCGAGGGAGGTCACCTCTTGGCTTTGCAGCGCTGGACCCGACCTGCTTCAGCTGGACTCTGCCTGAAACGGTGGCTCGAGACAGCCCGTGGGCTTGTTCAGCCGGCAGAGCCACACCTGCAGCCGCTTGGGCTCATCAAACCCAAGCAAAGGGACTTCTGCTTCTGCAGGGATCAGGGAGGGTCTAGAACTGTCTGCGATGGCGGATTGTTCACATCTTACCGCCCAATATTAAGGCCACTAGCCCCCTGGCCATTGAGCACTTGAAACCTGGCCCCTCTCACGGAGGAATAGAATTTTCACTCCTACTCAACTCTGACTCAAGTTCAAGGAGCCATAAGTGGCTTGGGGCCATCGGACGGGACGTTTCAGCTTGAAGCATGAATGTCTCTGAGGATGGGGAGGGAGAAGCCACGGAGCTTCCAGTTGAGAGAGGGGGCGTCTCTCCTGGTGCTGGGGCACAGGAGGCGATGTCTGGACCCAGACCGCCTTGGAGCGGTCCCATCTTGTTCATGGAGACCCTGAGCCCTGGGACCCTGGGCTTTTCTTCTGCACTTCCTCTCTGCACCGCCCTCCTTCCTGGTCCCAACCACGCTCTCTCCTCTTCCAAGAAGGACATCGGATCTATATCCTGCTCTTTCCTGGATCCCTTTTTTTTCCTCCTCCTCCTCCTCCTCCTCCTTCTCTCCCCCCCAACTCTTTTATTTTGTAGTCCTGGGGACTGAACCCAGGGTGCTCAACCACCGAGCCACATCCCCAGCCCTTTTTATTTTTTATTCTGCGACAGGTTCAGCCGAGGCTGGCCTTGATCTTGGGATCCTCCTGCCTCAGCCTCCTGAGTGGCTGGGATTACAGGTGCGTGCCACGGTGCCCCTGGATGGCTCTTCACCTTCCTTCTGCTGAGAACCAACCCCCACTCATCCCTTCTGCCACTTCACACCCCATCTCTCCCCGGGGGACTAAGGGAGAGGACGCATACAAGATGCCTGGCCCACAGTCAGCACTACCTCCACATGAGCTAAGTCCATCTTCATTCACAACTAAGGAAGCAGAAGCCCAGAGAGATTAGGCCACTTGTCCAAGGTCACACAGCCAGTGGGCCACAAAGGAAAATAAGGACATTCTCACGGTTGTCCAAGCTCAGCATCACCGTGAACAGGGCTTATTGGGGGAACCCCGGGAGCTATTTGGTTGGCCCTCACACTCGTGAGGAAACTTACGTTTAAATATTGGATGTTCTTGACAAAAGAGCTCAATATGTTGATTGCCTTCATCTGGTGAAGAGGATTTTGGAAGGTCTGTTTTATCAATTCTCCATTTAAAAAAATAAATAAATAAATAAAACAACCCAAAATGATGCTGGGTGGTGGTTTCTCTCCACTGCTGAGAGGGCTGGACAGTCACACTGCTTTGTCCCCACGTCCGTCCTGTACCCACCCAGCTGCTCTGAGTGATTAAGTTTCTCCGCCTGGGCACTAAGGATGTCCTGGGCCAGAGACTTCTCTGTGACAGGTCCTGTCCTGTGCACGGTAGGAACTGAGTGGCACTCGTCACCAAGACACACTGTGGGCCAGGAACCAGCTCCCACCCGAATCATGAAACCACAGGCATCTCTGGATCTTGCAAAATCAGGTTCCTCCAAGGGAGGGGTGCTGAGCACCCCAACCTGGGCTTCCCATTGCTGTCCACCCAAGGGTCTGAGAAGATGGTTGGCTACTCCCTTTCCCATGTGGGATGGAGAAATTTGCCTTGGCTAAGTGGCTCCCACCCCACCCCCTCTCGGGGGTCCCTACCCCTGTGGAAAAGCCACCCCTCCCCCTGGGCTCGGTATTTTGATGGGGACCAGCATCCTCAGCCCCATCACGTGCCACATTTGGCGATTCTCAAACTTCAGGAGCAGAGAATTCAATGAAGGACTTGTTCAGATGCTGATTCCCGCCCGGCCCTGCAGAGTGAGCGGAGGGGTCCGGCTGGGCACCCT